GTTCATTAGAACCCGTCTCCATTTTTCTTTTCACACCATGCCCCAAAATAGTTCCTCAACAGCATGAAAAATTCAGAGTAATGTTATATTCCTATTCGAATTTATCCTAGTGTCCCAATCTAAGACCATGAGCATATAATCATGATATAGACCCAGTGGATAATCAGCATACGGTCATGACTGAAACTCTGCCCCAGTTAGATTCTATTTATAATAGATAAGTACCAAGAGATTGATTCTCGAATAAGTTTATGAGAATTACATTATCTTGATCAACTTCTCTGATTATATCCTCAAGGTACGCGTCAGTCATATTATGTTCTGCACAAGCTTGCTGCAGTTCATCTACTGTGATGTAACCACTTCCATCTTTGTCAAAGTATCTAAACGCTGCAACAAGGTGTTCTTCACGCTCTAGTTTGTTGAGATGAATGGTTGCAGCAATAAACTCCCCATAATCTATAGTCCCACTATTGTCAATATCAGCCTGAAAGAAATTTAAGTACATTTTCATGGGGTTCAACAACTAGTAAGCATAAAAACCATACAGATTCTTATGAAAATTCAACAGCCACATCAAACAAGATATTTCCCACTGTTCTAGTAGCTATCAAAAACAAAATAATTAGCCTCGACACCACCAACTATACTATGCCCGGTGACCCTTAGTCTTCCGCTACTGCAGCTATATCTTATCCACATGTACATTTGAAATTTCTCCACAGTAAGATGCACTTAATGCCTTGATTGACTAAGAATTACTATACCGCTACTGTAGCACATCTAAACCCGATAAAATGGAGGGGAAAAAATTAACAATGTCTATGTAATCAGTGATGATGAAAATCATAAATATGCTCGTGCAAAAGAAATGTAAATTTCCCACAAGGCATGCAAAAGTTACCGCTTCCATGAGGTCACGTATTTCGGTATCTTTCAAGGTTGAACCATATCTTCTCAAACCAGCTTTAAGTTCATCAAACGTAATTGCACCACTGTTATCAGTGTCCATAGCTGTAAACATTTCTCTTAGGCCAGCAATCTCCTCTTCGGAAAGGCTTTCAGCAATCACCTAATGGTACAAACAGCGCAGATTAAACATCAATGTTGTTTAAGACAAGAATGTGGGTAAGGCCAAGCATGCATTAAGCCTTTCCAATTACAAGATATTTGATCCATGGAAACTTGAAAATAACATTTAAATAGGTGTCCAACTTCAGTTCTCCCACCTATGCAAAACGTATGTTGTACACTTACTCGTAATGCCATCTTCTTTAACTTGTTCATTGCAGAGAATTGTTTGAGTCGAGAAAGTACAGCTGGATCGAGAGCCCTATCAGGAGCAACTCCATTTTCGCAAATCCAAGGGTGGCCTGTACAGATTATTAAGGTATAATAATTCATTCAGATTCAGTATAATATGAATAATGAATGCAATTACCCCATTTGTAACAACAAAACCATAATTTTCGAGGTATGAAGAAATGCGTGTAACAGCTATGATGTAAGAAAGAATGACATTATGTCTTGGTCTGTCAGAAAATTCAAGAGATGTTAAAAGGATTCTTTATTTGTTCATTTTTTCTTAATAAAAAAAGAAACTGATATGGGTTATGAACCTTAGATTGAATTATACTTAGACCAAAATACACATTTCAGAAAGGAGCATCTGAAGTTATCTAGAACAGTGTGAAAACGCTTATTAAAGACCTAAAAAGAAACTTTTTTTTTTTCTTTCTCTAATTCCATATACTACATTCATAAAAACTTAGACATGTAGAGAAGTAAACATACATAATACTTCATGTGCAGTCAACCGATCTGATGGTCGAGAACATAGCATCTTCCTTATTAGATCCTTTGCACTGTCAGATATTAGGGGCCAAGGGTCAGAGTCGAAGTCGATATGTCCCTTAAGCACAGCATCAAATATTCCTTGTTGAGTTTCTGAGTATGGAGAAGAGGGAGAAAAGAACTATTTAGCAACCATATATAATAACTTGTTCATTTGTTACCTCTTTTTATAACCATGGTGCTGGACCCCACCCCACTAGTGCCTAAAGAGATATCTAGAGCCTTGATAATACTACCTACCAGAGATATCAAGGGTCTCCTTAATAGTCAACTTGTCCGAATGATCGATACCAAGGATCTGGGAGCCATTACCACCCAACACCCCAATTCCTCAACCAATAGGCAACAACCCATTCAGGTTCTTAGTAGTGTTTTAATTTGAAAACTACAATTACCTGCCCAAAACGGTGGCACGCCACTTAGCAATATATACAGTATAACTCCTGCAGTCCACACGTCCGCTGCTGGCCCATAATGCTTGAGCAGTACCTCTGGAGCAACATAGTATGGGCTTCCAACAACATCAGTGAAGATTTGACCTGAAATGGTTTTGTGCACATCAGCAATGAGAAACCATTTGATGCAGTGATTACAGCAATGTACATGGAAGAAAAAGAAGCCCAAGTAAAGTAACCTAATCAAATAAACACAATTAAGGAGAATATATTGCTGAATTGTATCGAATACGACTCATCAATAAAACACAAAAGGAAAAGAGTAACTACTGCTCTTTCTTTTCACCTGGTTTGAAGAAAACAGAGAGGCCAAAATCAATAGCTTTAAGAGAGAAGTCATCATCCTTATTAACCAACAAGAAATTTTCTGGCTTCAAATCTCTATGCATAACTCCAAGCGAATGGCAAGTCTCAACAACACCAACAATAATCCTGGTCAATTCAGCAGCTTTTCTCTCACTGTAATGCCCCCTTTGGATGATCCTATCGAACAACTCACCGCCACTACAAAGCTCCATAACAATATGAACATACAAAGAATCTTCATAAGCACCCTTGATGGTAACAATATTCTTATGACCTGCCAAATGGTGCATGATCTGAATCTCCCGCCGAACGTCCTCCACATCCTCCTTCGCAATCAACTTCCTCTTGGAGATAGACTTACAAGCATACTCGATGCCAGTCATAATCTCAGTGCATAAATAAGTAGTTCCAAACTGTCCTTGTCCTAACTTGCGACCGAGTGTATACAGATCTCGAATATTGGCAGTCTTATGACCCAAAACATAATAGGCTTGATTCTCGGCGCTTTTCCTCATTGTGTAGTCTTTCTTGCAATCGTTGTCCTTTGATTTGGTTTTGTTCTCTTCAGCAAAGGCTTGGGAAATTAGATTGTTAGTGTTGATGCTGGAAGGGGAATGGTCAGAGGAACCGTTGATATTGCGCTTAAAATTTGGGGTTGAGCTCTCCTCGGGCTGGCTGTATCCCTGAAATATATTCCCTTTGAAAGATCCACGGCAGGTATTGCCCATGAAACACAGAATCGCGCTTCTACTCAGACCCTCACGGTCTGTCTCCCCCAAACTCACCAATTATGCCTCATCAATCGCGGAACCCTAAGGACGAACAAGTCAAACAAACAAAAAAACCAAAATCAATCCATAATCGAAGAAATTAGAGACTCTCAATTCTTCAGATTAACCAAATCACTACAAAATCGAAGGAAGAAGAACTAGATCGGGGCTATAAACTCATCATCATCAATCTCAAAACATCGAGAGAAAATCAAAGATCATAAACTGAGATGGAAACAAAACCAATGGGAACAAAAAGATTATATTCACAAGAAAGAAAAAGAGAAGAAGTACCGTGTTGCTGTTCCGGCAAAGAAGGAAACAAAAATGGATTCCATGAACAGCGAAAGCAACTAAATTGTTGGAGCTGGAAAACTAAAAAAGGATAAAAACGGGTAATATAAGAAGATGAAGATGAAGAAAGAGTGTTATATAATAATAAAATAGTAAAAGAAATCGGGGGACCAAGTCCGATTTGTTATTTGTGAGGAACATCGGAATTCAGTGCTGTCCAGCTACTCTTCCTCTCTTATTTATTTATTTATTTCTTTCTTTTTTTCTTTTCATAATTTTATTTGTTATTGCGTAATTCTTTTAAAATAAATAAATTTAAAATTTTAATTATTCTTCCAAGGTAAATTAAAATTTACATTCACCATATATAATACTTATTATACACATCTATAAATACATAAGCTGTATAGGTCACAGTGTTATCAAGAACTTAAAAAGACTCATTTGCTTGAAGTAATTGTATGTTAGGTGACCTCCTATAAAATTTATTTAGAAACATGTGAGTGAGGATAAAACGTTCGAAAATGAGCCATATTGGTTCGTGGGAATAACCTTTGCTCTTATTAAAACCAGCTCAAGACATGGTCATGTTGCTTAGTGAGGATAAAACGTACTAAAATGACTCGTAATCTTCACTCTTGAAGCCAGTTCAAGATGTGGTAAAAGCTAATAAATTTTTAAATATGTAGTTACAAATTTTTAAAAAAGAATATGTAGTTACAAATTTAGAAATTAAATAAATTTTGTTTTTTCCAACTCATTAGTTATAAATTAAAAGAAGAAAAAAATAGAGAGAGAGAGAGAGAACAGATCCTGTTTGACTTGGGCTCACGTGTATGAGGCTGAAGAATGAAAATGGATCCAACTTTTACAACTTTATATTATTATTATTATTGCTTTGTGCTTGAATATTCAACTCCACATTATTATCCTACAAAAAAAAAACAAAATAATAATTAAACCATTGATTTGCTCATACAGAAACAATGAACCTTAAATCATTTAAAGATGGGATCTCAAATTTTTAAAACTAATTTTGAATGCTTAAAAGAAGTTTTGAGCTTCCATTGAAACCATTTCAAAACCAAAATGTAAAGCTAAAACATGAAACATCTAAAATCACTATTCTTTAAAAGCACTTGAAAACAGTGAAGTAAAGCTGTCCTTTCGAGCAAGAATGATTCTCCTTTAATTAAAATGGCTAGCGCCAGTGGATTGTTTCATGCTTGTTGCCCAAGATTCTTGGATGAAGAACCGATATGAGAAGATGCTGAACAGAGACCATCCCACGTTTTAAAAATCAGATGCTGATACTCATGGATTCTGTGGATCATCAAGTTTTGAAGGAACACAAGGTAATCAAAAACCCATACGAAATGAAGTCTTTTAAGGAACAGAAAATCAGCACAAGATTTGTTACAAACCATGCCTCTGCAACCAAAAGAACCAACAAAAAAGCCATGAGAATTCCGCATAAACAGTAGGTTTCAGAGCTCATTTCCATGGCGGAATCATCATGATTTATTAACCAGTCCTCTAATGGAGCCAGAGTAAGCAATAGAATTAGAAGCAGCAGCAGCATCAAAGCATCATAAACAAATTCTCTGATTAAACTCTATCTATGGGAGTGGATCCGATGAGCCTTGCACCAACTCGATCCAGTCTCTTTACAGATGCCACAGCTTTCAGATTCCCTTCCCTCATAAACGCCATAACCATACTTTCACCGATCTCCTTCCCCCTCTCCTTGTTGTCGGTCACTGCCACCGCCGTCGGCCCTGCACCACTAATGGTGCATCCGAATGCCCCGGCTGCAATGGCCGCCTTCTTGACCCCACCCATCCCTGGAATCAACGGAACTCTCGTTGGCTCTACAATTTTGTCGGAGGACAAAGCTTTGCCCAATCCTATCACGTCTCCCTGCAGCACAGCCGCTACCAACGCCCCTGCTTGGCTGCAATTCCACACATGGTGCGGCATCCCAACTTCAGCTGGCAGGGCAGCACGCATTTTCTTCGTCGGAGCTTCGAATTCCGGGCTTACCAATACGAAGAACAGCTCCTTCTCAACCGGGAATCTCAGGCGGATCAATTCCAAGGGTTCGTAATTCCGGATCAGAATGAAACCGCCCATAATCGCAGGTGCGACATTGTCCGCATGGTATCCAGAAACTTTCTCTTCCGATTTCAGCCCTGCGAGAACCAAATCCTCGACTCCTAATTTTCCGCCGAACAATCCATTAACAGCAATCGCCGCAGCTGCGGCACTCGCTGCGCTCGATCCCAATCCACTCCCCAGCGGTAGACCTTTCTCAAGCGTAAGAGAAAGACCGACAGATCGAATCCCTAGCATTTTCATAACCTCAATGGCGGCGATGCCAGCGCAATTATACAGAGGGTTTTTACTGAGTTTATTAGGGTCATTGCCTGTAATATTAGTGATTGCGACCTCACCTGGACGAACATTGGAATCAACGCTGAGAGAGACGAAATCGCCCAAGCCATCAACGGCGCAGCCAAGGAAGTCAAAGCCAGGGCCTAAATTAGCGACGGTTGCCGGAGCGAATGCCTTCACGGAGGCGAAGACTGGTGCAGGTTCAACGGCAGTAACGACGGTTCTGGATGGAAGAGACAAACTGCAACTGACGGCGACAGATTTAGGGTTATATAAAGGAACTAGAGGAACCGCAAACGACTTTAATGGAGGCTGAAAAGAGATCATCGCCATGGAAGCAAGTGAAACAGAGAAGGAGATTCAGATCGGAACCTGAAAATTTCTCAGGGATGAAAATTTTCGGCTTCAGAGGCTCAAGCGCAGTCACGGAAGAGAGAGAACTTCAGAGATGAAACGAAGGTGGAGGACCTGAATCCTTATATAGGGGTAACCAAATGACCATTTGAGGCAGTTTTCTCGAAGAGAGAAGTTGAGAAAGGCGTTGAAATTCTGGGTAATTTAGTCCTTTCACTTGTAAGTTTTCTCGAAGAGAGATATTGAGAGAGGTGTTGCAATGATGGGGGCAATTTGGTCATTTCGTTTCCACAATGCGATGCACACAATTCACCTAAATTGTATATACTCTTTAAAAAATTAAAACAATAATTTAAATTTTGTATAATTTAATCCAAAGCTTGCCTAATGGAATCAAGTCAAACACTAGTCAGTGTATCAGTGAGAATGCTGAGCCCTTGGGGCTCGATTGTGAGGTCTCACATCAATTGTAGAAGGAAACAAAACATTTTTTATAAGGATATGGAATCTTCCCAAGTAGAAGTGTTTTAAAAGAATAAAAAAAAATGAAAAATCAACCTAAGTTATCACTAGTATATGTACACAATCATAACACAAGTCGTCTAACTCTAATTCTTTAAAATCTTACATCTTAAAACTAGATTAGTTTTTTTTTTACGAGTTACATCTTTCAATAATTACCTAATTAAAAGAATTCACCATTACGTCTTATATGTTTTTTCACCTATCCAATAGGTAGAGGTCAAAAAGAAGATTGAGTCAATACAATAAAGTAAAAATGTTTTTTTATAAGATCAAAACAAGAGTTAGATTAAGCCTTAGGGGTCGATAAACACCCAAACCTTCAAGAAGGTTGAAGAAGATTCATGGGTCAACTATACGCCTAAATCTAGGCCAAAATGACGAAGACCAAGATGACTCGAATACCATCAACGCATGCCTCAAACATGCCCCTACCTTAGAGAAGAAGAAGTGAGCATGGGACATCAAAAGTATGGCTTAGTATCTATAGCAGTAAGTAAATGAAGAGCATAACCCGAAAAATGGTTCAGAAATAAGAGGTTTGGATTGGTCAATCTGGCTCACTAATTGGAAGCAAGGATCTAAAGTGCAATGCTGACACACAATACCACAGCTTCAGGAAGGTTAGATTTCCATAAATGAGTTGTGTCAACACACTTGGTGCAAGTCATATAAAGTTGAGTAAACTGTGAAGCAAACGAACAAATCGACCTACGAGGCAGAAGACGAAGAAAAAGCACGAGTGAGTGTTCTAACCCGAGGTTTAAATTCTTGTCAAGCTCATAAAAACTCAGAGAATATTCAAACACTTGAGAAATTATTTGGGTATTGGATTTGGGGGACCTAATTTTATGTTTTACAGTAAAGCAAAATAAAGAGTTGTCAAGTTATTCTTGGAATAAAAGATTTGAGACTTTTCCCCCTTTTCCCTATTATTCTCATGTTCTTCTAGGAATCCAAGTCATGTTCTTACAAAATGCTAAACAACCTTGCATCCATGGTATGTTTTGAAACATAGAAAGATTCGAAACAATATTACGAACTTTGAAAGAATCAAAAGATTCTTAAAACAAAAGATTAAAGTTCAAATTAGTATCTAGGATTTCTAACTTAATTTCAAATTAGTCCCTAAGATTTAAGGGTTCGCAGCGCCACATGCAACACATATGAGCCACACATGACATGCAATAAGCTTAAAGTGACTGCAAGGATTCCTCCTTGCCTTGTTTGCTAGAGACAAGCCAACCTCAGAAAGATGCCAAAAAGAGGCCTCATTTAATGGGGTAATGCCTACAGAGTGGTGGGGGCCCTGACATTGCATAATGGTTTCTAATGGAAGCTAAAGGGGATAAGTTAATGTACAAAAAGCTAGATCCATTATCCAAATCAAGACAGGCCCTCACAGGGCCTTTTCAATGAACTAAGAAGCCGCTTAACTCTTTTAATCAAATAATAATTCATCAATCAAGGGGCGTTTTCAATTGAAACATAAACTATCAAACATTAATCCTTGAGATTACCCCCCCTAAATTTGCCAGAAATCGAAACAAATAGAACACAATAAAAGAATCCATACTCAAATCAAAATTCAGACTATATAAGTCTTCAAAACTCTGTTGAATTAAATATGGCTTACAACTCTAAACAGTTGCTGTTTTTGTATCAAAAGAGGAAGCCTACAGAATTTATATCCCCGCAAAAGCCTTCTTCCCACTACTTGAGGACCCAGCAGGAATGACCTTCAACACATTGAACCTTACTGTCTTGGACAATGGCCTGAAATTCATTAAAACACGGTAAATGTGAAACAAGTCTTGGAAAAAGGCACAAAATAAAAGATATAATAACAGCAATCAATGGAAAGAATTCTTCATATCTTAATGTACCTGCATTGGCCAATAATAACGTGATCTCCCTCCTTCACACGAAAGCAAGGAGATATGTGGGCTGGAATGTTGGAGTGCCTTTTCTCATACCTGAAGGAAAAAGAAGAAACACAATATGTCAAAACCACGAAAAGAAAAATCAGATGGCAGTGGCAGTGGTGCCAACTGTGTGTGCGTAGGGTGGAGTTCAGTAAAGCACCTCTGATACTTCTTAACATAGTGTAGATAGTTCCTCCTGACAATAATGGTCCTGACCATTTTAGCACTATGACAAGTTCCAGCTAAAATACGTCCCCTGATAGAGACAGTTCCGGTAAAGGGGCATTTCTTATCAATATATGTTCCTGCATGAATGCAACAGAACTGGAATAATCAGTAAGTAAATAGCAACAATTCTAAAGAACATAATAGCAAGATATGCCTAAATAGGGTCTTAAAAACTTAGAGATAAGGATGCATGCAATACATAGGTAAATGAGGATGCAATATTGCAAAGAAATTCCCCTTCACTGGAAGAATTCTTATTTGCAGCAACAATTCACAGAACATGAGAGCAACATACGCCTAAATATTGGGCCTTAATAAGAATGAATACAGTACATAAGGTAAGTGAGGATGCCAAGCCTAGAATGGGGATACGCCATTAGAATTCGAATATTCAATCTTGAATTTCTCGATAAACACAATGCTGTGGCAATTTTTCTTAATAATACATAATTGATTGGAGAGTACTATGTTTGGCATCATTCCATCAACAAAATTCCTTGATATTTTGTACTCCCTCAACGATCCATCTAGTAGATACTGTTGTATCAATGCAGAAACATACACCTATTCTAAACAAAAGATGATAAATCCTCGACACAACTATCTCTTCAGCTCATTATGTTTTTTCAATAAGTTGTATCCTCTCAGCATTCGAACAAATAGCAATTCAATAAGAATTCCTACAAGACAGCTAATTTCATGACAATGAGGATGCAGCTCCATCTCATCATATACATAGGAAACAGTTAATAACTAACTTCCAATAGAGAATACAATCAATGAAGCTCTATAGCAGGTTAAAAATAATCAAATTACATGGTTTTTTTTATTGGAGATAAGAGTGCAACGGGAAGGTTCAGAGCAAACAATGACTCTGGCTTCCAGTGTATGATACTCGAGCAAAGTCGAAAGACAAAAAGACCAAAAACATTCATATTAGCAAGCCAACAAACATAAGGTGAACAGAGTTATGAAAAACAGAACCTTCAACGGCTTCCCTTGGCGTCTTGAATCCTAATCCAATACTCTTCCAAAAACGGTTCCCGCCCTTCCCAGGTCTCTTTCCCTTCCCACTCTTTTTAGAGCTATTTTGAAAACGAAATAGATTAATAATTAGAACAACACAAAATCATAAAAACAAAATCAAATCAAGATATAAAAAGCAAAACAGAACAAAAATTCAAAAAAAGAACACCAGAGCACGCATTCAAAAACTGAACAAAAAACAAAAAATTCAATTCGTTTACCAGAGAAAAACCTTGGGTTGCTTCAAAAACGCCTTCTCGGTCTGCGGAAAAAAGATGAAGAGTACAGAGATGTTAAAGTCACTCAAAAGAAAAAGGAAATGAATGTCGCCAATTCAATAGAAACCTGCTCCGCCATGATTAGGGCTTCCGAAGAGAGCAAGCGTTCTGGTTCGCTCGAGCGGCCGAAGGAGCAGAGTTCGATTACAGAAACCCTAAACCTGCTTCAGAGAGTTATAGAGCAGACGACAATAGATGGGCTTTACAGGAGAATTGGGCTTACCATATGAAAATGGGCCAAAATTTTCTTTTGAAGTTTTAATAAACATATGCACTCCATAAATCTTAAATTTAGTCTTTTAAAATAATTTATTTTTAAATTTGGTATAAAAAGTTTGTTTTGTTCATGAACATTCCTACCTAGCGTGATAAACTGCATCAAAATTAAGTGCGATTTTCAAGAAAATCTTCAAGATTGAGAAAATCGTAGCCGTTCTTAGCATGATTTTGGAGGAATCTCCTCGCCAATTCAACCACTTCGGGCTCTAGTTCTTCCCTTTAGCAAGCGGATATAGATTATAAGACCAGAAATTGCATACAATTCATAGATATACTAACGAGAAAATGCATACGAAAATAAGAACGAACAGATCTACTAACAAGAAAATGCATACGAAAATAAGAACGAGCGATCAGTGTAGAAATTTCTTTCGATGGTGAATTTAATCAATGCAGGCACGATTTGATCATTAATATAAAATAGCATTATTCATGCATAAAATTTGCTTATTTCAATAAATGAAAAAAAAAAAAAAAAAGATGTATCTCGACTCTTACATACGATGGCGCGATCTGAATTTGCAAAGCCCTAATTCTCTCCACGTTCACTCGAGAATGTATCTTCGATCTTTCTCTTCGATAAGCCTCCTCTCTTTGTGTCTGCAAACGATAAGAATTTGCGCAGACGCGTAGGGTTGGAATCGCGATTGCTCGAAGCTTCTGGATCTTGCTTCAAATGGCGGTTGAATTGGCACATCGTCAAGAAGAAATGCAGGAAAAGTGCGAAGAAACATACGCCGGCACAAATGGAGAAGAGTCCAATGAAACTCTGCAAGTGAAGTTGTTCTTGATCGAGATTGGAATCTCCAGAACTGCAAGACTTTCTTGAGAACCA